GCATAAAGTGAATGATACACCGTCGCAACAATCTCTCCTTCAGAGACAGAGTTTGCTTTGCCTTTGGACTGGAGTCTATAACTGTATAGGAGGAGACCAGACACACGGTGGTGACTGGTGTTTGATTGGAGTTTATGGTGCACACACAGTCCACACAACAGCGTCCCCCGGGGGCACACACACACACACACACACACACACACACACACACACACACACACACACACACACACACACACACACACACACACACACGCACGCACGCACGCACGCACGCACGCACGCACGCACGCACACACACACACACACACACTCACACACACACACACACACACACACACACACACACACACGAGTGCGGGTGGGTAGGCCCTAAAACGGCGGGAGCGGGGTAGGGGTGCCGATGTAGGGGTGTGGAGGGGTCGGGAGCGAGGGCGGGAGTGTGGACCGTGACCTAAAGCCCTCCACCGATAGAGCAAGAGGTGTCAGGCGGCAGGGCCCAGAAGGGCACTCGGAGGGGTGGGGGCTTGGAGGGCTGGCCAAAAGCGAGGCGTAGGAGGGGTCCAGTGGGCTAGAGAGGGCTGGAGGGGTCGGAGGGGGCTGGAGGGGCCGGAGGGGTTGTGCGGATGGAGGGGTCTGGAGGACTCGGGGGGCTTGGAGGGCTCGGAGGGTGTTCCGGCAAGGCGGCAAGAGGGTCCCTAGCGCGAGGGGTGGGGCTTGGGAGGGGTGGAGAGCTCGGAGGGCTCGGAGGGCTCGGAGGGGTCGGAGGGGTCGGAGGGCTCGGAGGGGTCGGAGGGGTCGGAGGGGTCGGAGGGGTCGGAGGGGTCGGAGGGGTCGGAGGGGTCGGAGGGGTCGGAGGGGTCGGAGGGGTCGGAGGGGTCAGAGGGGTGTGGAGGGCTCGGAGGGCTCGGTTAAAGATACCCTGCAGGCATAAGCGCGTTTGGTATTTGAAATACCTGGGTTTCCGCTAACGGAAGCGACAGCCTCCCCAGACACACACTCATATGGAGCTCCTCGCTCGCCCGCCTGGCGGCGGCAGCGGCCATGGCGACGCTGACGGCGGCGGCACTCGTGGCGGTGACACTCGTGGCCGCGGCGGCGCCTGGGCAGCAGAGAGAGCTGTCGCTGCAGTGCTGGCGGCTGCTGGCGGCGGCGGCTGGCGGCGGCGGCTGGCGGCGACATTGCCGGCGGCGGCCATGCGGGGGCGGCGCTGCTGTGGCGGCGAGGCGGCGGCGTTGCAGCGCCCTGCCGCAGCAGGCCCGCCCGGATAGCACTGGCAGTCTGCCGGCGCGGCCGGCGCATTCGAATGTGCCCGCCGCGCCGGCAGACTGTTGGATGGCCACAGTCGCGAACGTGGGTGAAGTCGTGCGGCGCAGAGACCAGCTCATTCGCCGTCGCCGGTCCCTCGATCACGGGCGCCGTCGCCGGTTGACCCGCGTCCATGGGCGGATTCAGCAGGCCTGCAGCCCTCCAGCCCTACACACCCCTCTAACCCTCTCGCGGCGGGCACTCTCGGAAGATCCGCGCCATTCTTTTTTTGCGACCCCTCCCGGAGGCCCTTCCGACCCCTCTCGAGCCCTCCCGCCACGAAGATCCTCCCTTTATCCGACCGTCCCTCCGAGCCCACCCGGCGCCCGAGCCCTCTTGCCTATCACCCGAGCTCGGGGGGGCGGCGAGCCCTCCTGGACCCCACCACCCCTCCCGCCTCGCCCAGCCCTCCTGATCCCTCTCCCTCCCGGAATCCCGGTGGACCGCTCCACCCTCCCAGCGCGCTAGCCCTATGGGACCCTGTGGAGCCCTCCCGACGCCGATCCGACGGGGAGGACCCCTCAAGCCCTGTGGGCTGGCGAGCCCTCCGGTCGGAGGGGTGGAAGCGGGAGGGCTCGAGGACGGACCCCTCTCGCTCCAGGAGGGTGGAGGGGTGGAGGGTGGAGGGGTGGAGGGGTGGTTGAGCCCTCTAGCTCTATCGATATAGCCCTACCCCTCCCGCCGTTTTAGGGCCTACCCACCCGCTATGACACACACACACACACACACACACATACCGTGTGTCAGAGTCGAGTGTGGTCGATTCGTCCCCCCACGGCCACGCGACAAACCACGTCTGTCTCCGTGTACCGTGATCAGACGTCAGGGGCGGCGACACCCCCATCTACAGATGATATGCGCATCTTGAGATAATATGCATCTAAGATGCACCCTCTTGGAGCGGCCGCACATTGCTCGGTACCCCCCCTGCACATCTAAAGCCATCCCTGCTGCTAGGGGGGGGGGTCTGACCCCCCCAGCAGCAGAGCGCTGCTGCTGGGGGGGGGGTCCCGACCCCCCCAGCAGCAGAGCGCACGGACCCAGCTCTCCCGCCTCTTCGCCGCCGCCCCCCCTCCACCCTCGGCTCGTGTTTGAGCGTACGCTCGAGGCGGTTGTGTTCACCGCGCCTTCGAGCCCGGTTGGCAGTAGGAGGGCCCGCCGGTGAGACCACTGATTTTGGTGTCGACCATAAATTCTCGCCACTGGAACACATGCTACTTACAGCTGCTGTCTGTACAGAGATGCCAGCACCCCACACAGGCAGAGCGCTCCTGCTGGGGGGGGGTCCGGACCCCCCCAGCAGCAGAGCGCTGCTGCTGGGGGGGGGGTCCCGACCCCCCCAGCAGCAGAGCAAGTAGCAGAGCGCTGCTGCTGGGGGCTGGCGGGGGGGGGGGTCGGCCATGGCTTTAGATGTGCAGGGGGGGGTACCGAGCAGTGTGCGGCCGCTCTTGGACTGCACACTGTCTTGCCTATGCTCGAGCATCTCTAGATGGTTTTTTCAACTAAGATGCCGGAGCATCCTGGATGCTCGAAATCACTCCCATGACGAGAACGACCAACGCACCGGCCGCCTGGCCGAAAAACGTGGGTTCGAATTCGTAGGAGGCACCTAGAGCAGAATTGAGCCCGCTCAGGTGTGAACAAAAAATATAAGGGTCGACCAGGTTTCGAACTGGGGGCCTCCCGCTCGCGGGGCGGCACTCGGCGAAGAAAGAGGGGGTGCTACCCGTGACGAAAAACGGACGCACACCAAGCGCTAAGCGTGAGGACGCGATTTCGAATTCGGAGGTGCATCTGAGCAAAATTGGGCCCGCTCAGGTGTGAAAAATTATAAGGGTCAAAGCTGCCGATTCGATCCGGAAGCCACTCGACCACCGAGCGGCCGACGGCCGAAGTAAGCAGAGTAGATGATGGTCTGGAGGTAGTGTCCACTCAGCGACCGATACCCGTAACACACTACCGGGGGAATTAGACACAACAGATACGCACAACCGACGCCCGAAGTGCCAAAGAAGGACGTCATTAGTACGAAACCTCAGAAGGCCATGGGCGCCGAGAGAACATTCCCCCGAGAGCAAAAAAGAAAAAGCACAAACAAACCTCCTTCCCAGGTTACCCCTGCCAAATGTCGCCGCTCTCGGGGCATGCTATCCTGTGTAAGCAGGGCAGGTGGGGGGGGGGGGGGGGCAGTCCCTCTGGTCTGATACTGGTGTGGTTCTGTCCCCAGCGTCGGAGGCAAGGGCGAAGCTAAGAATATTTAATTTTTTTGGAGATGAGGGGGTGCCGGCGGGCGACCTATGTAGCATACCGGGGGAATTAGACACATCAGATACGCACATACCGACGCCCGAAGTGCCAAGAAGGACGTCATTAGTACGAAACCTCAGAAGGCCATGGGCGCCGAGAGAACATTCCCCCGAGAGGACAAAAGAAAAGGCTTCGCACCCCCTCCTTGCGCAGTGACCCTCGCTAAGTGTCGCCGTTATCGGGGCACGCTATCCTGCGCAGGCAGGGCAAGGGGGGGCGGGACGCAGTCCCATCTCTCCTGTGTACGGGTGGGTTCTGTCTCCAGTCTCGGAGGGGGGCAAAAAGATAAGAATATCTATATTTTTTCCTGGATGCTCGAATCATCTGAAGATGCTGCGCATCCCAAGATGCTTGGCATTTAACGATTAAAATGCAAGTTAAATTATAAAGACTTGAGCGGCGTGTGAGCCCTTGGATCAAAAGTTGGAATGGAGACTGTGAATCTATGCTAATTTCAGTTGCTATGCTAAGTCGTAAGTGAGATGTGACTAACTGCTCTACATTCTACATCCTCTGCACCCTCCCTCAGCTGCTCTGTCGTCTGTGGAATACTACTGATGGCGATGGAACTGGGAGCCAGTGAGTGATCGTGGGGCGTGGGGGGCACTTAGCCCTGGTGCTAATGCTGACGAGAGAGAGAATTCTTGATACGAAACCACGACGACACACACCAGTCGACTCGCATCGGTTGCCTCCATGAACGGCGGAGCTATTCTCGCGCCCACACCACACCTGGCTCCAACGTGGACACGCCCATAGCTGGGGACACTACTAGGTCACGCATGGCATCACAGAAGTTTTATCTCTCTCTCTCTCTCTCTCTCTCTCTCTCTCTCTGCTAATGCTGACTTTACTACATGGACGGTTGCGGTTGCCTATATGTAGGACTGGTTTTTATTTCGGGTTCTGGGTTCGGCAAAAAAACTCCGACACTGTCCGATCGAAAATATTGGAAAAAATCCGACAACGCGCTCATGTTCCTGAGATGCATTGTGCGCATCCTCAGATGCCACATTCTATCCTGGGATGCATGGACTAACCCAAGATGAGGGTATCATCTCGGCTCTCGGCACACTTGTGCGTCTGAAGACGACTGCAGTAGAGATGTCACGCGCTATCAAAAGACGCGGGGCACCATCTAAAGATGATTAAATCTTCTTGGAGAACCCAATCATAGTGGAGACACCCGGTGTCCTTAGAGATGGAAAACGCATCCTAGATGGCGTTTGCGGTTTGGCATCTAGGATGCGCATATCATCTGTAGATGGGGGGGTCGCCGCCCCTGACGTTAGGCCAGCTGAACAAAATAATAAGGAAGGCCTACCGGTGACCCACGACGATCATGCGCTGGATGCGGCCGGCTGCTGGACCCGGACGACGGCCCCGGCTGCAGGTGTGAGTGCAGCGGCCTCGGCGGACGCAAGCGCGGGCGGCGCGAGGCCAGGCGCGAGGTGGAGAGGCGCCAGCGGGGCATGGGGGCGGAGAGGCGGCTGCTGGGGGGCCGGCAGCTGCGGCAAGTTGAGCGGCGGCCCAAGGGGGAGGTACTGCGGTTGCAGCTCTGGCCTAGGCACCAGCCGCACGGGCTGCTGGTAGTAGTGCCACGACGGGTTGTAGTGCTGCTGCTGCTGCTGGGCGGCGGCGGCGGCGGCGTCTGTGTTGCGAACGGCCCGCGGCGGGGCAGAGGAGTTTGCGAGGGCGGCGGCGTGCTGCGGCTGGTACTGCTGCTGCTGGGCCCAGAGGTTGTACGGAGGCAGGTGCTGCGTACTCAGGTGCTGCACGTGCCACTGATCCACCGCCAGAGCAGCCGCACTCACGCACCCGTGAGGGCCCGCCCCGGGCAAGGCGGCGGCGCGTGCCATCGGCTGAGCCAGGTTGGGGCGAGGGGCGAGGGGAGGGGCGAGGTGAAGGCCGGGCGGAGGTTGCTGGGAGGGCGGAGGCGGCGCGGGCCGGGCGCCCATTGGCCCTCCGCTGGCCCCCGCGCCTCCTGCAGCGACTGCGCCGACGGCCGCGACGGAGGGCGACTGCCGCGACGGAGGGCGAAAGTCTCCCCCAGCCTGGTGCGCCCTGGCCACCGAGTTGCTATCGGTGGCCTGCCGCTTGGCGCTGCGGAGACCGCACGCGTTGCACAGCGTCATGCCGCACCTGCGCGGCGCGGAGACGGGCCGAAGGATGTGAGGCGAGGAGGGTGTACTCAGGGCAGCGGGTGGGGTGGTGGAGGGGCGGCGTGCGACGGGGGCGTGCGAGGGACCTCCACTTCGGAGTCGTCGTCGTGCCGCACCGCTTGCACGCTCGCCCCGCGTGCTGGTCCGGCAGCGCCAAGGGCGAGGGCGACGCCGCCGGGGTGCTCGCCAGGAGGGCGGTCGGCAAGCCGACACCAGCGGCAGCGGCACCGGCCCTGGCCTGTGCCCACGGCTGGGCAAAGATGATGTTAGCGTAGATGGCGGCGGTGGCCGCGGCGTTCAGCGTGTGCAAGGCAGCGCCGCGCGGATCGCCGCTAACGGGGTCGGTGGCAAAAACCGCCAGCGGGCCGGTGCCGCCACGAGGCCATGTGGGTGCGGCGGTGGCGGCTTGCCCGGTGGGAGGCGCCGAGTGAGGGCGAAGGCGGGAACGTTGGCCGGCCGAGGAGGCGGCCGGCGCCATGGAAAGAGGCTGCGGTGCTGACAACGGGACGGCGCAGGCGACGGCGAGATTGGCCGGCGCCCGCCGGTCGACAGCCCACTCTTCCTGGTGGCGAGAAAATCGGATCCCGGCGAGAATTTCGTAGTGCTGCTGCACGGCGTTGGCCGAGCGGCCTGTGCCCAGCGCCGCCGCAATCCCGCTCCAATCGCTGGCACGAGGATTCCTCACCAGGACTAGGCCGGCAAGCGCTAGCTCCTCCTCCTCGCTCCACCGCGGCTGTCTCGAAGGCGGGTTGCGCTCCCTCGTGCGCCCAGGGTTGTCTGGTGGTTCCAGCTGCGACATTAGATCTACATTATCGGGACCAACCCTGCGACGCCGTTTCCAGGACATCCTTTGGTTTGCGTTCCTTAGCGAGATTGGTGTAACGCCGTCCACGCGGGCGTGTTTTCTGACGGCCGACCGTCAGTGCACGGAGTTGCCCCTTCTCCGACTGCCCCGGCTAGTTCGAGGGTTTCGCGGGAGTGATCCCATGCGTCAAACCCGAGACCTAGCGGTAGCGCGGGTGGGTTGGAGGGGGCTCGCTGCGAGGAAGGGCGGTGTAAGAAGCCGATTCCCGTACTCCACCCCACTCCTCCCCATCGGGCCGCATGAGCGGCCGCGCCTCGCAGATTCGTTTCTCGCGCCTGGATCAGCCTGGTTTTTGGCCCTACCGGCCTACCGGCTACCGCGATAGGAGCACGCAGATACGTTTCCGCGACCACTACATGGACGATAGAGTACACCGCGCTCCGGCGCTAGATCTACATACATCGCGCAACCCCTGCCTGGACGAGTGCAGCTGAAGGGCCAGTGGAGGGCCCAACTTGCTTTTGGGGTGAGGTTGCAGGTTGAATGAAGAGGGTTTTGGTTGGGTTGTGTTCTCTTGGGTGAGGTTGGGAGGGCGAGGTTGAGAGAGAGAGAGAGAGAGAGAGAGAGAGAGAGAGAGAGAGAGAGAGAGAGAGAGAGAGAGAGAGAGAGAGAGAGAGAGAGAGAGAGAGAGAGAGAGAGAGATTCGGAGGTTGTGTTCTTTGGGTGAGGTTGTTGAGACCCCCCACTGAGAGAGCATCCAATGGGCCGTCCAGATTATATTGACCTCTGGCTTGTCAGCCGGTCACTTGATGACACCATGAAGCGATCGCCATCTTGCTGGCTCTCTCGGCTATGGGACCGGCCCCAGCTTCGGCTGAGGGCTGACAAGCTGCCGAGCCCAAATCACAGTGCGAGTCGTGATTTCTTGTTGGGCGCGGGGAAGCAGTGACCAGGTCGCAGGTGAGAGCAGGATGAGGAAAGAGGTACGCCCTCTCAGACGTCAGAGCACAGAGGCGGCGGGCGGGCGCGCCCACAAGAAGATCCTACTTCGAACTTCCTGGATACATTATTGTGCATGCACATGTGCATGTCATGTTCATGTTCATGTTCATGTTCATGTTCATGTTCGTGTTCATGTTCATGTTCATGTTCATGTTCATGTTCATGTAGATCCCCACATACCCCACACATCCCCAGAGTGCAGAGAGGTATGTATGTACCTGTAGAAAGATTTAGGTTTGGGGAGGGCGCGAGTGGGAGACTTTTCGGCGGTCGAAAATGCGGCGGAATGGGATGTGCCCTTAGGGAAGACCTTTGGGACGACCTGTCGCCCGAAAAAAGCAGCGATCGATGCCGGCGCCAGACGCGGCGCCGCGAGGCACACGGGCGCCGGCGTGGCGCAGCGGCGAGGCACACGGCGCGCCGGCACGCTTTATATAAAGTAATATATCTTTACTTCCAAAACCCGGACGTTCCCAGGGTTATATGGAAGGTTCGACACACCCCACCCCGGACTGGGCGGAGACTCCCCCCGGACTGGGCGGAGACGGGAGAGGTCCCAGGAAAACGCTGCTGGGCAGCGAAAGCCCCGCCCCCACTTGCACTGACTGCACAGGATAGCGTGTACCCCGTGCGACAAACGGCGACACATGGCGGGGGACACTGCGCCGGGGGGTATGCCTAACTGTGGTGCTTCGCGTGTGCTCAGTGCTGTGGCGTGTTGGGGGTCGCCGCACCGCGCACGCCGCTCGCCGGCAGCGCCAGCCGCAGCGGCACGCTTTATAATTATTATTAGAAACAGTGGGTTTGCGGGGTGGGTGTGTGGTACAGGGATATTGAGGTAAGAGGGATCATTCGAGAACCGGAGATACCCTCTATTCACTCCCCTCTCCCCAACGCGTCTCTGTTCGACGGCTCTTCTCAGCGGTGCGGGGTTCGCCGGTGCAGCGATTTTGAGCCCGCCCGCGTCATCTCGGGCCGTCGAGCGCGTTGCGGAGAGAGGTGAGGGGTGCGCGTCGTCGGCGCGGGGCGGGCCGATTGGCCGCTTCCCGCGCCTACGAGGATCAGCTCATGAAGGCGAGCCCGGGCCTGCCGCGCGCCCAGTCGGGCGTCGGCTGCGCGTAGCGCGGGTCGGCGGAGGGCTGCTCCTCGTACGGGCTGCGCAGCAGCGCGTGCAGCGCGTGGACCGCGGAGCTGTCGCCGCGCTCGGCCGCCTCGTACGCCTCGGCCAGCATCCAGTTGCGCAGAATGTACTTTGGGTTCGCCGCCGCCATCTCGCGCCGCCGCTCCCCGTCCGGCCGCGCCTCGGCGCCCACCCTACCCCAGTACCGCGCCGCCCACTCGCGCCACGCCTCGAGGTGCTCCTGCGGCCACTCGGCAGCGCCGCCGATCGCCGCCGCCCGCGCCGCCGCGAGCCCGTCGCCGCCGTCCGGGAGGTCGTTCGTGAGGTCGCCGAGCGAGCGGAAGAAGACGGTGAAGTCGATGCCCTGCGGCCCGGAGCGGGTCGCCATCAGCCCGAAGAGCGACGTCCACAGCTCGGCGGCGTCGTCGTCCCAGGAGACGAGGCCGAGCTTGCGCCTAGTGGAGCAGGGCGGAGTGGGATGGAAGGTGCTGCTGGCTCGTGCCGGGCGGCGAGGCCGAGCTCTCGCGCCGGTTGTGCTCGTCGTGCGTCGCGTGGAAGACGTCGACGAAGACGCTGGAGACGCCTGCGGCGAGAGGGGCGGAGGGGAGGGGTGAGGGGCAGGGGGCAGTGGGAGGAGGGTGGGTGGCGAGAGGGGCTCGTGGGTGGCGAGATGGGGCGGCGAGCGAAGGCGAGCGAGGGCGAACGGTGCGAGACGGTGCGCCGCTACTCTTCTCGGCTAATCTCGCGCCCTCGCGCGTCTGCTGCACGGCCTCGTCCGCCTCAGCGCGCGTGAGCCCCTCCTCCGTGGCGACGGCGCGCAGGAGGTCTGCCCACGCCTCGGAGAGGATGGAGAGGTTGATGGCCGCCGCCTGCGGGCAAGGCCGTGGACGCGTCACGGGCGAGTCCTCGAACGGCGGCGCGTGTCTGCCGAGGTGCGCCTGAGGCTGCCGCCCGAAGGAGTACTCCGCCCCTCCGCCCACCCAAGGGCAGTGCATCGGGTCGAACCGCTCGAGGAAGCCGAAGGGGCCGTAGTCGAGCGTCACGCCGCAGAGGGCCGAGTTGTCCGAGTTCATGTTGCCTGCGTCATGACATAACACGTGACACAATCTAACGACAGTGAGGGCCGAGTTGCCCTCCGAGGTCATGTCACCCTGACAGTAGCCGACGCGCAGCCACTCTGCCACGAGGCGCGCCTGCCGCTCGCACACCTCGCGAAACAGGAGGACGAGCAGCCGCGACAGCGGCGCCTCCGGCTCCTGCAGCCACACGGAGGGCGGGGGGGCGGCCTCACCCACCTCGGCCGCACCTCGGCCGCATCTCCGCCCCTCCTGCTGCAAGGGCCTGCTGCTACTACTACCGCTCGCGCTGCTACTCCTCCCCCCTCCTGCAGCCGCAGGTGTGCAAAGTCGCGGCCGAGAGCGTGCACCGCGAGGGCGCGGAGGAGGGCGGGCTCGTCCCGCTGGTAAAAGAGCTCAAACTGGCCGAAGCGGAGGAAGGAGGGCGCCACCCTCGCACCCACCGCCCCCGGCTCGAGCCCCACCCGCTCCCTGCCTTGCGAGTCGTACCACGCCCGCTGGACCGTGTCGCCGCTCGCCACGACCGCGAGGGCGCGCGTCGTCGGGACGCCGAGGTGGTGCATCGCCTGGCACAGCGCGCGGCGGTGAGGAGGCGCCTCGCGGCTCTGGCAACGGAGGAGGCCTGGCGCGCCTCGCTCGCGAGAAACTCTCGCACCGAGGAGCGGAGCACGGCCCGCCCGTCGAAGCGGCGGCTGAAGGGCGTGGTGCCCGCACCCTTGAGCTGCACCTCGAGCCCGTTGACCTGGCCGACGGAGATGGCACGCCCGTCGCCCCGCTGCCCGCCGTACCGCCCCGCGAAGCTGGCGCCGTACGAGGTTGCCCAACACGGGACCGCTTCCGGGACCTTGCCCGCGAAAAACTGCAGAAACTCGTCGCTCTCGCAGGTCTCGGCCGAGAGGCCGAGCGAGGAGGCGACTTCGGAAGAGTAGGCGACGAGGCGTGGCGCCGGCGCCGGCACCGAAGGACGGACACTCACGTAGTGGGCGCCTCGGACCTCTCTGCTCAGCTGCGGAGGCTTGCCAGACTCGTCCGGCACGAGCTCGCGGAGCAGCGAATTGTCGACGGCCGATGGCCAGTCGCCGATCGCTACGGCGGATATGGTGGCCAGCGTGCGGCGCAGCCCGTGAGCTGTCACGGAGCTGGCGCTCCGCGCCGCGGAAGGGGGCGGTATCATGGAGGTAGCCGCCGAACACGGTAGCGCCGAACACACGCTGTCGGAGATATGCGCCTGCGGTGTGAGCTAGGCGACGCTGAACCTGGTCAGATCCCCTCACTGTCGTCGGCGCGGCACGCTCTTGTTTCTTATCAGCCCACTCTTTCCTTTGCACCTGATGCTACAGAGGGCTGACAGCGCGATCACCCCCAACTGTGTGAAGTGTCGCGCTCTCATTCATGACCGGTCTCAATGCCCCACCCCCCGCCTGCGCGCGGGCCTTCTAGGCCCGCGGGTAGTCTCCCCCCATCCCCAGGGCCTCCAGGGCTCGCACCTCAACCTCTCACAGACCAGCGCACAGCGCCATAGGACGTATTTTCTTCTCATAACAAGGCTGTGAATGCGCGCGGGCCTTCTAGGCCCGCGGGTAGTCTCCCCCCATTCCCAGGGCCTCCAGGGCTCGCACCTCAACCTCTCACAGACCAGCGCACAGCGGTCAGCGCCATAGGAGGTATTTTCTTCTCTCAATAACAAGGCTGTGAACCCATACAAGGGACAAAAACAAGGGACCCAGAACATATGCGAGTTTGAGCCCCGGAGGCGCAGGGATGGGGGTCGACCTCCCTACAGACGCTGAATGGGTGCGTTCACACTGACTCTCCCTGGGGCTCAGACACCACAGACGACTGTGAGGACGAGAAAGAACAGGAGTGAGGAGAAAATCGTTTCTGGCATCGCCCACATCGGTCTTGTGTATCACACGTTTTCACACCTCCCACCCCGCTCTTCGATACCGCCGCAGCTGCGACTCCACCCCTTCCAGCCCACCAGTGTGGAGGTACAGGGTGGTCGCGTCGCCCTCGCCCGCGCGCTCGTGCGAGAGGAGCGTGTCGAAGAGCACTCGCAGGGCGTGCGGCGCGTACAGCAGGTCGACGTCGAGGCCGGCGCGGGCCGCCTCCTGCCACATCGCCAGCTCCTCCCCGTCGAGGGCGCCGAAGTGGTGCGCCGCGCCGCCCGGCATCGCGAGCGTGCGGGGCAGTGCCTTTCTGTTAGTTCCTACGGCGCCGCCCGTGCAGCGGTCGAGCGCGAGCATCTGCGCCTCGATGTAGTCTCCGTCGCCGACGCACGGCACCGCCCACACGGTGACGGCGCTGGTCTGCGAGAGGTGGCGCGCGAGGAAGAGGGCCGTCGTGCCGGTGCCCGCCGGGACGACGAGGTCGAGCCGCCCGCTCCTCGGCTGCCACCACTCGCGCACCTCGCGCGCCAGGGTCGCGACGCCGGGCTCGGCCAGCGCCGCAGCGCCGCCTTGCGGCAGCCAGAGCGCCTCCGGGGGGAGGAGGGCGGCCGGCGGCCGAGGCGCGACCGCAGGCAGCACTCCGCCGCCCGCGCCAAAGAGAGACGCGTACTCCGCGTCTGCCAGCTCGACCAGCTCCATCCCGAGGGAGAGCGCCCGCTCGAGGTTGCCGCTCGGGGCGGCAGCCAGCCACCGAGGGAGCGGCTTGGTAAAGTAGAGGAAGCGGGCACCGTGCGCGTCCGCCACCGCCGCAAGCGCCGCCATCGCGTTCGACTGGTGCCCACCGAACGAGCCAATCAGGCTCGGGCCGGGCGACATGGCCTCGAGTGCAAGCAGCTTCCGAGCCTTGTTGCCCGACACCCCCGAGCCCAGCGCAAGCCTGTCGTCGCGCTTGACCAGCAGCTGGGTGCCGCGCAGCGAGAATGCTTCGATGGGAGAGGCCGCGAGCTGATGCGCCGTCCCGTGGCAGACTCCGACCGCCAGCATGGCTTGGCAGCGAGCGCGGGCCGGCATCAGCGAGAATGCTTGATGGGAGAGGCCAGATGCGCACAGGGCCGTGTGTGTATTCTCTTCTCAAAAATAACGCACGGGCCCTCAGCGGAGCTGGGAAGAGGACCGCCGCAAGCGGCGTGGCGTGGAGCGGTTGTGCATCCCTCCGGGGGCCCCTCTGCGCCGGGGAGGCGTTGTTGGAGGCTAGGACGCAAGCGTCCGTCGCCCTTTTCAAACTCGGGGCCCACTCCGCTACGCTCCGACCCGAATTTGGAGGGCCTGAAAGTTTAAGGTGTTGCTGCGCAAAAGGGGTCGGACACAGGGCGCAGCTCATGCTAAGAGCTAGAAGAGGAGATAGAGAGAACAACCACCCTAGAAGCAGCAGCACCCATGCTTCGAGACGGCCTCGAGCGACATTGGCAAGCTCCCAATCACAGAAGCAGACATGCCTCTGCGATGGTACGGCCTCGAGGGCAAATTCACGACCCAGTTCTATCTGGGTGGGGCGAGACCAGGACAGAAGGCCAACTCCGCGCTCTCCACCGCCATGGACCGCTCTTCCATCCACCACAGCTTTGATCAGGGCTGGTCTGGCAAGGCTGGGCTCCGGGATCACAACATCGGGAGCCTCAAGACTGCGCGCACGATGCTCCGGAGAGAGTAGGTGTACCATACCCCTTTGCTAGCGCATATGCTACAGCTGCCCCGGGCGGCGCCGCGGCAGGCTGCCACACCTGGGGGCTTGGGCGCTGCTTGCGGAAGCCGCTCTCTCGAGATACTCGTTTATGCACAATATCTCTCTGTCTGCCCCGCTCTAGTCTCCCGCGCTCTCGCCACTCGGGGCTCTAGCCTCTGCCGCGCGTCGTTGGCCTCGATGTGGCGGACGGGCCGCGGGCGCCGCAACGCGGAATAATTAGTAAAAAGTTCGGTAACACCACCACCAAAATTAGTGCTCCACAAGGTCAAGAACTCTCCCACGCCTGTGGTGGATGGAAGTATCAAGAGCCACGAAACTCCGCCGCCACTCCCAAAACGAAGTGTGCGCCGTGACACCAATGGTGTCGCACACACACGCTCTCCGACTCCGTCTCGTGCGTCGGTGTGGCACACCGACTAACACACACACATTGGAACAACACGCATGAGCCGCGGGCTGCGCGGGCTGCGCGGCGATGTCCAGACGCCGGCGCACAGTCCAAAGCGTAGTGTCAGTCTCGCTGCGAAAGGCGGCCGCGCCCATCATTGCGCGCCCTCTCCCAGCGCGCGCCCGAGGAAGGCGCTCGCGCGGTCGACGACTCTGGCCACCGTCGAGGGCGAGTAGATGCGGCCGGTGATGACGTGCGGCTCCTCCGAGTCGAGCACGTCGACAAACTCGGCGGCGGCGGCGGCGAGCTGGCAGCGCATCGCCGCGTACGACACCACCGGGTCGGCCGGGTTCGCGAAGACTAGCGTGGGCAGGCGCGCGCGGCCGATGGCGGCGACGTCTGCGAGCTGCACGCTCGTGTAGACGGCGCAGAGGTTGACGACCGACTCGGAGGGGTAGGCCATCGTGCAGACGCGGGCCTGCTCCTCGGACACGAACGGCACGTGGTGCGTCCTCCCCGCCACGCAGTGCACCAGCCTCGTGGCCGCCGGCAGCGGCAGCAGCAGCGCGGGCCACTTGAAGAGAGCGTACGCCCGGCCGGCGAGCGAGAGGGCGAAGCCGGGAGAGACGAGCACGAGCGCGGCGAGGGCCGGCCTCGCCCACGCCTGGCAGGCGAGCCACACCGCGAGCGTCCCTCCCGTCGAGCAGCCGACCAGGACGACCCTCCTGCCCGCCAGCCGGCCGAGCGCGAGAGAGACGGCGGCGTCGCGGAGGAGCTCGCCGCATTTGGCTTGCTCGCACAGGCCGCGCCCCGCCCGCTCCGGCGGCGCGAGCCCGTGCCCGCTCAGCCGCACGCGCACCAGGTTGGCGCCCAGCTGCGTGGCAATCTCCGCGTCGGCGGGGTCAATCTCCTCTGGCGACGCGGACCAGCCGTGGAGAAAGACGACGGCGACGTCGGTCGCCGCGCCGCGCCTGCCCGCCCACCGCACGCACGAGCTCACGCCTGGCTGCAGTGGCCCCGCCCGCTCGTCCCGCTCCGAGAGGTACGCCTCGATGCCATCCACGCCGATGCCAGGAGGGAGCGGGTCGCTCAGGTGGTCCGCAGGGGCGCTCAGAAGCGACACGACCTCGTAGTAGCGTGTGAGGACCGCGGCGAGGAGCAGCGTGAGCGCCGCTAGAAGAAAGGGCCAAGCCAGCATCTGGTCTCACAGTGTGCCGGCAGTCGCCGAGCAGTGTCGCTCACACAGTCGCTCACACAAGCCGCAGCGCCGAGTAAACGGAAAGAATTTAAACAAAACAACTCTCTCTCACAGCACACAGGCTCGACACAGGTGCGAACGGAAAGAATTCTTAAGCCCCGCCTCTCTCACAGCACACTGGTGAGTGCGAGATAGGGCTAGCCGCAGGCAGCTAGCCCGTGAGGAGAGCGTCCATAGACACCTCACTTAGACCCCACACACGGTCTCGTCCGTGCCTCGCCGGCCGGAGAGATTGCTGGAGGTAGAGCAAGCCTGCTCTAGCCTCGCATGTCACTTCCTGTCGTCTGTTGTGTCGTTGTGCCCTTGTTTGTTTCTCTTGGCACCGTGGAGTGCTGGGGGGGGCGACAGGGAGGATATGGCCTTGAGTTATGTGTAAGCCGACTCAGGGTGTGTGGCAGCCCGCTGGCTGTGTGTCTTGTGAGCTTGTTTGTGTCTGTGTGTCGCTCGTGCGTGTCGTCATCATCTGTCTAGCGTCCACCCATACCGCGTTGGTGTCCAGTCCGAGCCTGGCTGTTCTTCACCTTTCTACCTACCTACCTACTGGTCTGAACGGACTCGTGAGGGGCGCCTGCCAACCTCGCTTCGCGGCTCCCGCGGAGGCACGGCTGGCACCCGTGGCGCGGGGCTCGTCTTCGGAAAGACCAGGATCGCTCTACTGGCAAACTTCTGGCTGACACGCGCGCCGCGTCGAGCCTTCGGCGGGCGCGCTGCGGTCGCACGCCTACCCAAGTCATATGCCACGGCGTGCGATCTAGATTCAGCACACGCACCTCTGCTCGCTGATGCTCATCCAATGAATTGTCCGTCACCCAGATGAGTGCGAGTTAGGGCTAGCCGCTGGCGGGTAGCCCGAGAGGAGAGCGTCCATAGACGCCTCACAAGACCCCACACACCGGTCTCGTCCGTGCCTTGCGGCCGGCGACGAAATTGCTAGAGGCGGAGCAAGCCTGCTCTAGTCTCACACGTTCGCCCCTGTCGCCTGTCTGTGTTGTTGTGCTGTTGTTTGTCTCTTGGCACCTTGGGTGCTGGGGGGGGCGACAGGGGGGACGTGGCCTGAGTGATGTGTACGCCCACTCAGGATGTGTGGCAGCCCGCTGGCTGTGTGTCTTGTGAGCTTGTTTGTGTCTGTGTGTCGCTCGTGCGTGTCGTCATCATCTGTCCAGCGTCCACCCATACCGCGTCGGTGTCCAGTCCGAGCCTGACTGTTCTTCACCTTCCTACATACATACAGCACACTGGCACGACAAAGGCGCGGACTGGCGCGGACTGGAACAAACTGCCAAAAGTGCTTCTGTTGCTTGTTGTTGTCTGACTGTGTGTGTGTGTATGTTGGTCTCACCCGGTGGGTGGCACCGAGGCGTCTGGGACGCTCCACTCTACCTTAGCTCCTGAGGGGCGCGTGGTTTTAACCACGTAGTATGACTACAGCCCACAACAGACACCCTACCTGCTCCTCACGTGTGCACACTCCCTCACCCTCTCCTCTCTCCTCTCTCTCTCTCCTCTCTCTCTCTCTCCTCTCCTTGTCTGTGCTGTCTGCCTGACTCAGGCACTAATTCTGCCGATGCGTGATTGTGTGTGGGCTGCTCCGAGGGGGCCCTGTGCGATCCGACGGGTAGGGGGTCTGTGCCCGGGCGGTGTCCGGTGCGGAGTCTCCTTCTGATCCCGCCTGTGATGTTGGGTGTGAGGTTGTGGCGGCTTCGAACCCAAGGGGGGGAGCTGATCCCACTCAGTAACCAACTCTCAGGGGCAGTAGGTGGGCGAGCCTCGAGCGCGCTCATCTCGATCGTCAAGGTGTCGCTACGCGCGGTCTTCCGCGGGGGGAGCTTCGTCGACGGGTGCGGGACCGCGGCGCAGCCAGCGTTGCGGCGATGCCTCACGTACATTCCCGGAGGAGGACTGCTGACAGGGTTTGCGATGAGGAGTGACCCGAAGGGTTTCTCGGGGTTAGTGCACCACTAACCGCCTCTGCAAGAGCACTACGCCTCAGCGGGCTCATACTTTTCAGGCCCTCCAAATTCGGGTCGGAGCGTAGGCCGTAGCGGAGTGGGACCCGAGTTTGAAAAAGGCGACGGACGCTTGCGTCCTAGCCTCCAACAACGCCTCCCCGGCGCAGAGGGGCCCCCGGAGGGATGCTCAACCGCCCCGCGCCACGCCGGTGGCGGGGGCGGATTCGCACATCGTTTTCTTTTTTTCGGAGGAGGATCCGGAGGAGGACATAGAGCATCGCACGGACTGGCCCTCTCAGCCCCTTGTCGCTGGCCCCGATTATGAGCAGCAAGGCCCTCGACCAGCCCACCCGCTCCTTTCCCGTTAGCACGAGCGCCGAGCGCGCCGCCGGCTTCCTCGCCGCGTCCGTCTTCTCGCTTGTGTACGTGGTCGCGCCAGTTTGGCTGCTTGCGGCTCTCGTGTCTGTCTTTGCGAGCGGGCTCACCTCTCTATCCACGCTGCTGCTATGGGCTCCGCTGCTCGTCTCTGCGCTGCTGCCCGACACGGGCGGTAGCATCAGCCCGATCGTGCTCTGCTCGTGGCCGGTGCGGCAGATTCCAAAGTACTTCCGCTACGAGGAGTTCCACGAAGCGACCGATCGTGAGCTGCGCGCCACCGGAAAGAGCTACGTCGTCGGCGCCCACCCGCACGGCGTGTTCTCCTTT